GTCTCGCAGCATATATATAATTCAGAAAATAAAATGTGTTTTCAATATCGGCAAATTTTATTTTCAATAAAATCCACTAATTATATTGATGCTTAAAAATTACAGTTTATTGTTTTAGGCAATTATTCTGAAAATGGTCATTTATATTCCATTTTAGGCAACACATGCTTCTACCAGAAAACACGATATATCAAGCACTATCGTTACAGGAAAGTACTGTATATTCAACCATTTCAAAATGTGTAAATATAGCATAACTTCTTTTTGAGAGTTTCCTTCAAGTGAACCTTAATGGACTCACGAAAATTTAAAATTATTCAATTAGCCTCAATATAATGCATGTCCCACCAGCAAGTCCCTGGTAGTTCAGTCTAAGGTTCGAATCCCTCGAACGGGCTGGCTGCATGGGCGTTTCCATGGTTTTTTCCATGTGTAACATGTTAATATGAGCCAGTTTTCCTTAGAAAGTCCTCCACGAAGGCATCCCTGCCTTCCATGTAGTGCCTTGGGGCAAAGCACATAAATAATAATAGTATAATACAAATATTTTGCCTCTGTCCAATATATTCCCAGTGGAAAGTTTTATGAACTGTGTAAGAAAAATATAATAAGAAGTACAGCAATAAGAATATATTATCGAATATACATTTCAAAAGCGTAGTGAAACATCTATTCAGTACCAAAGATATTAAAACATTCAGTATTGTGCTTCATTAAATACAAGTATGCTATACTATAGAACTCACTTGACTTTTTTGCAATTACAACTATAATATAATTATATCCATTAAAAAAACATTGTATCTGTATTCACTAGAGTTATAATGTAATTCCAATTACATTTATCAGTACTTGCTGTTTACTGCACCTTGAGGAAGATGCATTATTTTTATCTATGATATAAAATACTTTTCTTGAGGAACAAAATCTGTAGACACAAAATCTGTTGTTCATGTCTAGGAAATAACCTTCGAGCAACCTTTGGCAAATATTGCCAGTGTGCAAAAAATAAGATCCTAATTAAACTTCGACCATCCCTGGTGAATACACTTTCCCATATTGTCATTCGACAAATTATAGGATCTTTCATTTACCTTCAAAATTTAAGCTATCTATTATTGACTAAGCTGGTAATTAATTGTAGTTAGTTAAAATTATAACTAATGCAGCTATAATTGCAGTTGTAATACAATGATTGTTCGAATTACAATATAACTGCAAAAACAATTACATTATTGGTTCAGCAGTAATCGAGTAAATAAGACGTCTTTTGAATAATGCTAGTTCAAATCGGATTCAAATTGCAGCAAACAAGCTAAATGTTTGGACATTTCCGTGGATTTCCTTCTGTGCAACATGAATACAAACCAGTTTCCTTTAGAAAATTCTCCACAAATATATCATTAATCTTAAATACTTTGTCTCATTCAGTTAAATAAAGACCTTTTCCTCATGGGTGATGTGAGTATGAGACAGTTTCCTTTAGAAAGTCCTCCACAGAAGCATCTGCGGAGGGTGCTTTACCATAATCCAAATAACTTAACATTCACAGGCACAAAAGAAAATGATACTTTTATTTGTTTTTACTTGAAACTATAGAAAATAGTTCATGCCAGTACTTTCACTTCTAAGTAAATAATGCATTTTAACTATTTATTGAAAATATGTGTTATGTTTAATAAAAGGCTAATTCTCAATCATTTTTTTTTTTTTTTCAAAGACAGGCACTAGCCATTTTAGACAAGGGCCATTACTAAAACAGGAAGTGGTGGTCACATTATTATGGTGGCACCTGTGATAGGTAGATCACTATTGCCTCCTGTAAAGGGACGAACAAATTAATCCAGAATTTGAACCCAGGTCTTTCAGTATGGCAGTCAGGGTCATGAACTATTTTCCCATCTAGGTGGCAATCCTTTATAAATAGAGTTAGTAAAATGTTTAGTACACACAGCAATTAAGCAGACCTATATCAGGTCTGAGTCACTTTTATACCAGCTAAAGCAATCGGTTGGATAAAATTATGAGACTTAGTTTAATCCTTGATGATCCCTTGCTGAAAAGGAAAGGATAAATTAAGTTTCCATGGTTTATTTCTTCTGTAATATAAAACAGTTTTCCCTAACAAATCCTCCATGAAAACATCCCTTTCCACAAGCATACACTGTTTGCTTGCTTTTCCTTAACCCTGTAGAGCTGCCAGGGTTTTCGCTAAGAAAGCACAAATTTATCAAAACTACTATGAGAACAAATATTGTTTGTTTTTAATTTAAAAACTGTCGTGGTATTACATACCTGGATTTGTGTACTATTGATATATTGCCTTAATTTCTTTGACATATTTTAATATGCACATTCATATACGTTCTTACAGATATCTCAAAAAATATTGCTGCTTAGAGGGTTAATCTTGTAATTCAAATTCACATGTATGTCGAAGATCATAAGCATATGTATTTGCTTACATTATTATGTGTATTTAGATCTATATAAAATAGCTGATATTACTCCCTTTAAATAATTTCCAGTTTATGCCGGTATCACAAACTGCAATACATGTAGGATGATTCCAGACAGAAAATAGTAATATTTTTCTTATAGGCAATTACCTAGTTCTATTATTTAAAATTCATCATTGAAAATGGAGAAACATTTTGGATATACTATTATAAACTGTAATTTTCAAATACGATCACGATTTCCTTAGCCTATTAACACTGAAATTATAAGGGATTCTGAAATTCTGATTACATAATTACAATCATCTGCTGTGTAATTGTAATTAAGATGAAATTATAAAATTACATTGTAATTTTTATTAGATTATATAATTACAATTATAGTGTATTCAATTGGATTTTACAATTGAAATGTAATTATAATTAAAATGCATTTGCATAAATTTTAATTGTAATTAAAAATAGTTACATTGTAATTCAAAATAATTGCATAATATTATTACAATTACTGTGTATTTTCAATTGCATACTACAGTCACATTTGCATGATTTTCCTGGGCTATGTAACTGCATTTATCAGAAGCAATTACTTTCCTAATTATATAATTACCTACTGCAGCTACAATTACAGTGTAATTTTAATTAGATTGTATAACGCAATTAGATTGTGCAATTACAATGAATATGAAATTAGATTTCACAAATACAGCATTATTATAATTTAAAAATGAAATTGCGTAAATTGTAATTGTAATTAAAAAACAGCTACTTTGTAATTGTAATTACTTAGTACTTGCATCTTGTTATTACAATTACAATGTAGTTTCAATTATATACAACAAATACCATTACAATTATGATCGTGATTTTATTAGGCTATGTAATTCCAATTATCTAGGGGCAATTACTTTCCTAATTGCATATTTATATAATTCCCTACTGCAATTGCAATTAAAATTACATTATAATTAGCTAACATAATGTATTTGCAATAAGTTTTATTGTAATTATAATTAGATACAATGAAATTTATAATTGTAATTAGATTATATAATTATGTCTGTAATTGCAATTGCATTGTAATTGTAACTAAATTTCAGAATTATAATGCAATTACATACATACATTGTTGTTGTAATTAAAAAGAAGTCGCATTGTAATTGTAAAGTAATTGCATATTCTAATTACAATTGCAATGTAATTGGAATCACATATTTCAAAATATTGTTGCAATTACAATTACTGTTGCATTTTAATTTTAATTACATTTTGACAAACTGTGACTTAAAATTTGGAGAGTAATTAGGCTGGAAAAGGAAAATTCTGTTTACGTACGTAAATATTAAATTTTACTATAGCTGGCATAAGCACAGAAAAGACGGAGGATTTAAACAAGCTATTTATTCCTAGTTGTTATTCGAAAACCTAACGGGGGGGGGGGAATTGTCTCTATTGAATAGTTAGTTACTTCTCATCAGTTACCTCGCGCAAAGGAAAATTATAACCTGTCAGTTTAAGTTAAGAGCAGAGAGGGAAGGGCACTCTGAAACAGGCTGCATATATGCTGCTTTGCCGTTTTGTGCCGTCAAAATGGAGGTTTTCGTATATATGCTGTTTTGCCGTTGTGGGGACCAAAATATTCAGACACATATATGCTGCCTTGCCGGTATGAGAGTCAATATTTTAGAATGCATATATGCATCCTTGCTGGTTGGAGGTTTAACATAGGTGTAGGCAAAATTTCTAATCATGGTTACTATATGAGGTATTTCTCCCACTTCCCTAGCGTGCCTTCGTGGTGTAACGGTAGCACACTGGCTGGTATTCCAGAGGTCCATGGTTCGATTCCCGATGAAGGCAGTTGCATTTTTTTTTTCATCTTTTCTGCTTCCAATTAACCTAATGACTCTACAACTATATAATTATCAATTTTATTTTTTTTAATCTGCATTAAAAAGCTTTTAATACTACCATATTCTTACTTTCTTTCCATCTGTATTATTTCTAAGTAAAAAAAAAGGGGGGGGGAATCTGAAAGCCTTTAAATTTTAAATTATACCCAAATGGGCATATTTTTCATTTACAGACACAATACATGTTTCAAGAGCATTTGAGCCAATGCCAAATGCTGAATGGGCTGAAATATTTTAAAAAAGCATATCTTTAGAATTTTTTATAAAGAGTGTCAGGCGCTGGAGATAAAAATTTTTAATTCCTTACCGTGTTGCCACTGCTTACTTTGAAATCATTGGGTTTTTAAATCAAAAAGTCATGACAGTTTTACAAAATATGAACTATACAATAAAGCAAATTCCAAATTTGGGCTTTGATGGCAACAATTTGAAAGTGATTCAAAACAAAATACCATTTCGAGGCAAATAGCCCTTCTGGGCTCATCCCCTTTTGGGTTAAGTAGTTCCTCTTTTTTTTTTTTTTTTTTTTTTTTTTTTTTTTTTTTTCTGTTTTATGTCATAATTTTCTCATAAGCTTATTATTTTACACTTATATGGTATGTATAGAACTTTATATTGTATTTTTTAGGAAAGGATTGATGCTGAGCTTAAAAATTTCATTGAACAACATGACCACCAAGAAACTGAAGTCTTATCCTTACAGAAGATGCTGTTAGTATATATTTTAATGCATTTTGAGTTGTATTACTTCATTATTTATTTATTTTTATTTGCAAGTTAAAATCTGAATCTAAAATGTAGATTATGGCATATGCCCAACACATATTTTAGACTTTAAGACAAACCTAAAAGAGTTGTAAGAATGAATTTCTTATTTTTTTATGAAATATTTCTTACAAATTTAATTTTATTTACCTATTTTTTACTATTTACAAAGTTACGTACAAAAATATTTTTTATTATTTACAAATTTATTTAGAAAAATTATTTTTTACAAATTTATAATAAAACTTATGAACATTATGTTTTTAAAATGAAGTTTCATGTCTTGCTAAGGTATTATATTTCTAATTTTATTATCAGAAAAAGCTTATTCTTAAAATGCATTATCATACTACTGCCTATAAAAGCAGTTGTATATATTATATCAGGACATAAAATTTTAATATTAAAAATAATTTTAGCACTGAAACATTGGTTGTTTGAAAAATAAAATAAAGAAATTTTGGTGTCTCTCTTCTGCATTGGCCTTGGCGAAAAAAATGGCAGTAGTACAATTCAGGCTAAAGAAAGTGCAGTTTGTTACCAAATCCACCAAACTGTAACCAAAAAAAAAAAAAAAAAAAAAATTGTTGTAAACATCCACATAAAAGAATTTATTTTGGTCAATAATAAATTAGCCATTCATTCAATATCGCCCTCAGGGGTTCACTTTGAGTACATGTGTGGTACCCTAGGTACCCTAGCCTTTCAGGGCGTTATCGTCTTGGTAAAAGACGGGTGTCACGATCCTGGAGCCTCAGGGATCTATCCTCTCTTCTGTCTCCTCTCCTCTGAGCTGAAACTTTTTTCCTTGCCTTCTCCCTTGTGTTTTTCCTCTTTGGAGGTTGGGGCTCGGGATCAGATGCTATTACAGCTCTTGTATGTAGCTTTGAGTGGCGAGAAAGCTGCTCACGTGTTTGCCGTGCATGGAGACCTGTGTTGCTGGAAAGGAGGGCCCTGGTTGTTGAGGGCCAAAGCATTACACTGCTTTGGCCTCTGCCTCAGCTAAACAGGGGCACCTTATTTTCCTCAGTGTCAATCGGTTGTTCACTAGTCCTTGTGTCAGTGGCTTGAGGATAAGCTCTCGGGAGTGCCCGCTTTCGGGAAAGCAGAAGCAAAAAACTGTGGGGCTTCAGTTTGCATAGCTTTAATACAGGATTCTGTGTTTCCATGGTGGGTGGGGCAATCGGACCCGAATCGTTTCTCTTCCAAACATGGCTCAATCAAATTTAAACACTTCAACTGAACATAATTATGTATCCAAAAAAACAAAAACAAGTGAAAATGCTAATGTTAGTTTACCTTATAGTCATAACAACTGTATCAGGGAACTTAAAAGGAAAACCAAAAAACATAAAATAACTGCATTCTGGAGACCTTTTAATTGAAACTGTTTTTTTTTAGCCAATCTACAGATCTTCTTTGCTTAACCAAACTTGGGAGTGTGGAAGTCTCTGCAAGACACTGAATTATTGCTGGGAAGTAATTTCAGAGAGTGATCTTCTTTTTGTCTCAGATGAGGAAGTCATCTCTGAATAGAAAAATAGTGTCAAACATGCAGCCGGAACAAAATATATTACATGCCAAAGCTGTTAAAAGCACTAAATCAATAGCAATCCAAACAGATATCACTATGCAGAAAAAAGTTCCCCTGGTAGAGACATTAAAAATTATGATCATTCCCAAGAACATACAAGATACTAAAGAAACAATAAATACAAAAATGGCACAAAAATCAGAAAATAAACCAAATAAAATACCAACAAACCAGAGCATCGCTCTACTGAAAACCTGAGCTCTGAAAGCATAGATTCCAAGATGGATGTAGAGGGCGGAATGGAAATTCGAAGACATCTCCTCCCACGTCTGACAAAAAAGCAGCACAGACAAAATAAGCACTCATAATGGTTACCACTATCTCTTGGAACTGTCATGGTTTCAACAAAAATCTTATTCATATAAAAGAAGTAATTAACACATCATCCTATCTACTTTGCAGCTCAAGAAACCTTAATTACACCTTAGCAACAGCTGAAGATTTGGAGGTATTGTTTCGTCAGAAAAGCTCAGCCAGTTAATGAACGTGTTAGCCGAGGTGTAGGTCTACTCACCTCGCTTGAGTATCCTTCAAACATTCTCCCTCTTTCAACTTCCCTCCAAGCTGTTGCTGTGCAGGTTAGTACACAAAGTTTAATTTTAGTGTGTTCGATATACCTGCCTGCCAGTGATTGCATTGAGCAGCAGGACTTAAATAATTTAGTTGAGGATCTTCTTGTTCCCTTCATTCTTATTAGCGATTTCAGTGGTCACAATCCTCTAATCTCCACCTATCAGAGTTATTTCCGAAAGGGCAGGTAAACAGTAGACAATATGTGTCATTTAAAAACTTCTATTCACCAAACCTTTGTAAAAAGAATCCACTTAGTTTCAATTTTTTTTTTTTTTTTTTTTTTTTTTTTTTTTTTTTTATGGAGAAGGTGTATGACAAGACCTGGAGATATGGTATTGTCTGCGATCTCTATGATTGTGGCTTGCATGGTAACATGCCCATTTTCATCTATAATTTTTTTAAAGCTAGGACTTTCCAAGTGAGTTTTGGTTCTGTATTATTCAAGGTCTTTTATCAGGAAGAGGGTGTGCCTTAAGTGTAACATTGTTTAGTTTAAAAATAAATTCTGTTTTAAAAGAACTTCCTCCTTCTATTTCTGGTACATTGTATGTTGATGAGCTCCAAATAAGTTGTCAAGGAACAGACATGAGGTATATAGAGAGAAAATTGTAGATTGCGATTAATAGAATCATGAGCTGGTTGAATCAATATGGATTTACCTTTTCAAGCCAGAAGACTGCATACATTTCTGCAGAAATGGAATTTGCAGCCTGAACCTGAACTGTATATTATGGGTCATTGATTCCTGTTCATTCAGAAGTAAAATTCCTAGGAATAATATTCGATCGTAAACTTACCTTCTTCCCCCATGTACTATATTTGAGGAAGAAATGCTTTAAAATATTAAATCTTAAAGTCTTGGCAAAAAGCTCTTGGGGTGCAGATCATTGCACTATGCTATGCATTTACAGGAGTCTCATCCATATTAAATTGGACTACGGCTCTGTAGTTTATGGCTTAGCACGGCCTTGTGTGTTATTGAAATTAGATCCCATTCATCACCAGGCTTTGAGGACATGTTCTGGAGCATTTAGAACATCTCCTATCAAAAGTCTGTATGTGGACAATTTTGAACTATCCCTCCGTTTAAGGCACTCTAGTTGTCTCTCTGCCATTATTTCAGTATAGAGTCACAATTAGAACATCCTGTTGAGATCATGTTACAGAATCACTTGTTTGATCACCTATTTGAAGCACGGTCATCCTGTGTGCCTTATTTCTCCATCACTGTTTGATGAGTATGGGTTATCCAGTATAAATGCCCAGTCTGTAAAGCACTTTCATGTCCTGCCTTCGACAAAATACAACTCCTTGATGTTTTTCACCAATTCAGGAAAGTAAATACAAACGATATCATCTATAATCAGCTTTTCCTTGAGCACAGGCAAAAATACAACAGTTATATCCCGATATACACGGACGGTTCGAAAGCAGCCAATCATATCGGAGCTTCCCTTGAGATAGGGAATCACATAGAAGGTAGATGCTTGCATAAAGCTTGCTCAGTACTAACCTCTGAAGTAACAGCCTTGTATTATGCTGTATTTTACATATCTACCTGCACCAGAAAAGTTCATTATCTACAATGACTCCTATAGTGCACTATAAGTCTTAGAATCATGCTCAGACACTCACAATCCTGTAACTGTGGACGTTCTTAAGCTAAACTTAAACTTGTAAAGGCGAGTGTATCAGATTTTGTACTGTTGGGTACCTGGACACATGGGGATAAAAGAAAACAATCTGGCAGACACTGCAGCTAAATCCACTCTTGATATGTGCAGCCAGCTTGTCCCATTCAGAGATATCTGCAAGGTCATCATGAGGAAAGTGCTAGATAAGTAGCAACTGCTATGGAATCTATAGTCCAACAACAAGCTAAAACTGTAAAACCTCTGGTTGAATATTGGAATGCAACTAGAAGCTGGAAAGAGGAGGTTCTTTTAGCATGTCTTAGAATAGGTCACTGTCAAGCTACACATGGTTACCTCCTTAACGCAGAGTGAACGTACTTGCTCAAAGTGCCAAGCTATTTTATCAGTTCATCATATTTTAGAAGACTGCCCTGTTTTAAGGAACTTCATTTTAAATACTTTACTACCTATATTGTACCTCTTCACCGTTTGATTGGGAAAGATGTGAATGCTAACCTGTTTTCATATCTAAAAGAGATTGGATTTTATCATTTAATTTGATCTATTTTTTAGATTTTATAAATGCCCCAAATATTTTAATGTGTGTTTTTGTCTTCATGCTTCCATTTACATTTCAAGTTTCAAATCTGTTGATTAGTCATTTTGTCATCATCATGAACATATTTTTAATACCTTTCACCTGTATATATTCAAAACTTCACCATTTGTTTGCCGCACTATAACTGTAAAGGTTATGAAACTGACAAACTCAAACTCATTCACTATCTGTGCAACAAAAGTTATTTAATGTATATGTACCAAAAAAGAAATTTAATATCCACAACAAAAACATGCTGGGAAATTCTATTTATCATTTAATTTAATTTTTGATTTATTTGCAATTTATAAATGTAAGAAACATATAGCATCCAAAAATCAAAAATAAAATTATATATATACAGTCAAAAGTCTTTAATCCGGACGTCCATAATTCGGAATGATCTATTATCTGGACCTCAAAGCTACAAACTTTCTACGCATACTACGCATGCACGTTTAATGTATAACAGATGGTATAAGCTAAGCTAAAATTATCTATTTCAGTTAATGTTGCAGATTGTGTTGTTCCTAAATCTTCTAATTGG